ACTGCGGAGTCAGAGACAAGAACAGACCCAGAACAGGAGGTAACGTCAACATCAGAACAAGGAACTTTTCTTACAATGGAACCCACTGTCATTACAACAATAGAAAAAGAAACATTAACAACAGAATCAGTATTATTTTCAAGTACAATACCAACACATTTATCAAGTAAGGATCCGGAGACAACCTTTACTCCAGACCAGGGGACATTATTAAGTACAGAACAGGGAACCCTGAAGACCACGGAACAGGCGTCGTTATTTACCGTAACTGAACAACTTTTCACTACAGAGGGAGAGAATACAGCAGAATCCAAGAGCACAACACAGGAAGCATCAAACACGCCAATACAAATTACAAATGGAACAGTGAATTGTATTTGCGTTTGTCAGTACGTTTCTGCATCACTTGAAGAATTGATTCACCGGAGGAAACGGGCGCTAATGGTGAATGAAGGAAATCTTTCCTCAACAGTTAGAAAGCTGACTTGTGCAAAAGATAATCGTAAATCATCAACGTCATTGGGAACAGTAGGAGGTGTGATACTGTCGCTCTTTTTTGGATTGATCGTTTTATCAGATGCTTATCCAGTTTACTTGTTTTTGTGTAAAATATTGAAAATATCTTTAGAAGATGTTTGATCAACACTTAAGAACTCGTTTAAATGACCGTATAAAAGAATGGAGGGCATATTGTTTTGCTGCTGCCTTTCGGTCGTTCGGTTGGTCCATCAACAGTTAACGTACATTTTCTTTGCAGATTTTCCTTATAATGGTATTAAATAATTATATCTAGGTTAAGTTCTGATTGAATAATCATCATATAACCAGATACTACTTTATCCCATCGTGTATGCTGCACGTGCAGATTTAGAGTGGTGCGGTACCCCATTCCCTTAATATACTAAGCCAACTAAAATTGACCTTCGAATTCCAAATTCTAGAAAATACCGACCCTTGTTCAGTTGATATGAAAAGACTTCAGATTTGAAGGTTTAGTAAAAGTGAACTTCTGTCCCCACTCCCACGAAATAGGTTTTTCACATAACAGGGATGTGATTGGCAGAGGAAGAAAAAGGAGGAAATAAAATCAGTCGGGGGTCTGGGGGCCGCTACAGGCCCCCAGCGGGTGCAGGGCAGCGCCCTGCTGGGGGGCCCAGGGGGGCGAAGCCCCCCGGAAGCTCCTGGAGTTTCACATATTCTAGAGCTTAAAATTTAATTTCCAGAGATATCTGAGAACCATTTTTTCACCAAGAAAAAGGAAACTAAATTAACATTTAAACCCTTGATTTATTCAAATGCAATTTCAATTGACACAAATTATTTTTTCAATTTTCTTTTTTCAGCCAAAGCCTTTAGAATTCTTAATCTTGATTGTTTTGCTTGCTGTTTGACATGAGCTTGAAGATCTTTCTCTGCCTCAGCTTGAAGTGTTAGCTTAGCTTTTTTCTTTGAGTCCAATTCACTTGTGTTCTTCACTTGTAATTTATTAATTCTTTCCATTTCATCATGATTTCTTTTCTTCAGCCTCTCCCTGTAAGTACAGCTTGATTTCATAATATTTCTTGTCAGCTGTCTATCAATTGGACTGTAAAGAAAATCATCTCTCCTGTATAATTTTGTTGCTGTTGTTTCTCTTGATTTAATGAAGTATTTGACAGTTTGAATTGAATTATATGTCTCAACTGCCATGTTGGAAGATTTTGGATCCATTATATCTCCCATTGTGTTAAAAGAGGATTCCACCATGGGTCCATGGAAGATGGTGCAGGCAGCTATGGCCACTTTTGATAAGGCAGGATACTGGCCAGATTTCTTTATAATCCCCCACCAGGAATCCACTCTTTCTGTTTCTTGAGGCAGACAGTCATCAGCTTGAAATCTGTAAGAGTGCAAGTATATACAGAGTCCATAATATTTAAAAAATTAAGGAATTATTATGCAAAACTCAAAGGTAATAACTTAAGATACCTGTGTATTTCTGCTTCTATGCAGTCCTCTTCTTCCTCTGTGAGTCTAGCTGGAATTATACCTCCAAGAGTTTTCAGAGCTTTCAGGAAAGAGCTATGTTGTCTTGCATCTGGGTCTAATGCACTCAAACTCCTAAGTACTTTATTGTCTAGTGGTAATTTGTTCTGTAGATATATGCCACAGCTTTTGTAGCCAGATACCACTTTTTCCAAAAACATTTCAGTGATAGAGTCTTTCTTTGGCATTGATAAGACCAACTTTCTTGTTTTTCCACCCAAAAACATATCTTCTTTGGTGAGAAAATTTTTGTCCTCAATCTCAACAGTTTTCATCTGCTTTCCAGATCTTCTTGTAAAAGCCTCTGGCTTCAGGAAGTACGTTATGAAAATCTTGAATAATTCCAGCTGTTTGTCATAAAGCCGATGGACCATGGGCTGTTTTGTTTGGAACATCATAACATACTCCTTTAATATTGGGAAAACAGAAGTGTAGAAATGCAACACCAGGAGAGTTCTCTTTTCTTGGAACAGCACCTTCAAAAGCAAATTATTTAACTATATATTATAATAAACCATTATGATACATATTAATTTCCATGCCACTACAACTTTTCAATGGAAAATAAAATTACCTTTTCAAAAATCCTTGTTTTTCTCATCTTTCCATCGCTTGTCATCGACTTTTTCTTCAGGTAGTTGTGAATACTATCTAGTTTTGCTCTTGCAGGTTCACTTACTTTCCTGTCATTTAAAATCTTTCTGATAACAGGCTGGTAAATTTTTCTATCTTCCAACTTCAGAAATCCAAAATAGAAGACGTAATATGCATCCCAGAGCCGTAGTGTTCCAGCAGCAATATCATAACAAGTCATCCATCTATGACTTACAAATCTCTCTGGTGTTGTAAACTTTATCCCTAGTATTTCACAGACCTCGGCAAGTTTTTCTCTCAAGTCTACAGACCAGCGATGGTCTGTGTGGAGATCTGTAAAGAGGGACTCCACCCAGTAATCAAATGGAGCACACAACTTTTTGCTTGCATTATGCAAGTGATGACAAATGTCACCATCTATGTCTATAAGATCTGGGGCTCTTGACTCTCTGATTTTTTTCTCCAATCCATTTTTGGAACCTCTCATTACTGCACATGAATCCATGAGAATAGAAACAACATTAACCCATGGAATACCATTGGAGTTAAATACTTCATCTAATGCCTTCAACAAAGATGATGTATCCACTGTAACAAGTTCAATTGAAGTTAAATGTTCCAAGACTATGCGTCCCTCAGATTCAAGGAAGTAACTCACCAAAACTGCCAATACATGCTTGTTATTGTTTGATGTAGCTTCATCAATATTTAATGAAAATGGACTGGTACGTAGTGTTTCCAAAGTCCGTTCACGGATAGTCTTAGCTAAACCATGGGTCATTTTGTACGATGCACTAGTCCTATCCATGCTTAGATTTTGCAAAGCTTTCCTATCTTTTGCAAGTTCTTTAGTTAAGTTGATAAGGACAGGAGCCATGGTCATGGGAAGCGATTGCTCAGCCAGTGTCCCCAACACCATAGCCTGGTTTCCTGCAACGAGAACCCAGAGCTTTTGATTAGGCATTTTAAAACTTGTCACTGGCATCTAAACACTTGCCATGTCATGTAAACTACTATTCAACAGAGAGATTGGGCAGCTCCCCTTATCCTAAAGAAGCATGTCTCTCTGCACTAGTAAGCACAATATTTATTTGTGTCATAAATAATATGAAAGCTTCATTTTTGCTTGTCAAAATATACCCCTCCTCCTTCATCCATCGAACTGAATCGGAGAACGGGTTAACTCGTATGTCATAATTTTAACTTATATATTATTGTGTCAAATGCTGACTGACGCGTTTTTCATACTAATTATTAGTCCATTATTTATACACTGAATGACGACGGATCTTTCCATTATTTCCCGATCATCACAAGGAGCACACGGCGGATGACAGGTCGGCAGGGGATGCTTAATCTACCATGGCACCTGATCCCACCTGTTTTGGAGGTCCGTGTTTGCTCTGTTCGTATCTTGTAGGCTTTTGATCTTAAATACCGTTCGTTATCTCAATATATATCATAACATAATCCAATAAGTTGGGAACTTTGTAGTAAATGTTTACCATGCGACCTAAGTACATGTAGTCTGTGTGCAATTATTTCAAGTACGACTGCTTCGCATGAATAGTTTCAGCACCATATTGAATAAACATGTCTATTGGGCCTCAAAGAAATATTTAATGAACCCAGCCATTTAAAACACAGTGTCAGAAGTGTTGAAGTTGCCAAAATGCCGATGTTCAAATCCCCAGAAAATTCCATCTCATTGTTACGAATTTGACATTTTCCACTCGTATGTCATAATTTTAACTTATATATTATTGTGTATTGACATTTATTATTGTACATGTATACTTGTTATTATTAATAAATGTTATTTGAAATTCAAATTTATCGTTGTCAACTTTTCACATTTTCATCTTCTTCTCAAGAACCACTGGGCCAATTTCAACCAAACTTGCTACAAAGTATCCTTGGGTAAAGAATATTCAAGTTTGTTCAAATAAAGGGCCACGCCCTTTTCCAAGGGGAGATAATTATGAATAATTGATTGATTGTATGTTGTTTAACGTCTCTCTTGAGAATTTTCACTCATATGAAGACGCCACCACTTGCCGGTGGAGGGCCACAAATTTTGTCCTATGCTCGGCACTCAGGCCTTTGAGCAGTGAGGGATCTTTTTCCTACCAGCACCAACTGCGACACGGGGCCTCGGTTTATACGGCCTCATCCGAAGGACCGGTCTCCACGTCCCACAGTGGGATTCGAACCCGCGACGTAAGGATTGACTTCTTACTTCGCGACTCTAGAGCAAGTGCTCTAACCACTGCGCCACGCGGGCGACAGCAGGACTTTAAAGATTATTTCATGAAAATGAATTATTTTTTTGAGATTTTTTTTTCTGTGCCTGGGTATTAAACATTATCTGGTGGACCGTCCGAGCATGCATGGCAAATCAGAAAAAAAAAATTAAATATCAAAGACAAAATACTAGTAGCCATCAGTAAGAGCTAATGCAATCAAACCTAGACATGTGGGAGGTGAAGACAGGTCCTTCGGATATACTCTATAAACCAAAGTCCCGTGTAGCAGTAGGAGCTAGCACGAAAAAGATCCATCACTGATCAATGGCCTTAAGTGCAGAGTATAAGACAAAATTATTTGCAGCTCTCCATCTGCAACTGGTGGCGTATCCCTTTCAGTGAAAATAAAATTCTAAAGGGATGCTATACACATTAAAAAAAAACGTAGACAAGAAGCAGCTGCCTAAAGAAAGGTTAGAGAGAACAACTCAGATGATCCAATTGCGTTTTAAACCGCAAGGAATTCCATAAACAACTATGAAAAGAAGAAATATTCTAAAAATACTTAGAACCTAGCCAATGAGGCCATACACTGTAAAAAAAACCTGAATAATAAATATGAAGATGCCTTTGTAAAAGAGGTTATCACTTCAACGAACAATAAATCACCGAATGTCATTTTTCGTTCAGAGGAGCAGATGACTTTCATGCGTTCCATTACATTTGCGAAATAGCGTATTTCGGACTTCATACCTTTCAAAGCGGATCTTTAACGAGGGGCAGTTAAAAAATGAAAAAAGATGAATTTTTTCTTCAATTATTACTAGTGTATAGGCTTTTTTATAGATCATGTTCATATTAAGATTTACATGTAACTATATGTAATTATAAATTATAAAGCCAATAATATTGACCATAGCATTTAATTGACACGTTAGAGAGTACAGTAACTGTATAGAAAATTAATACACAAGTGAATGAATAATTAAGGTCATATATATGGCGTATTTTTGATAAGTTCAGACGGGCTTAAATTAAAAAAAGAACTTTCAACTTGATTTTAGAGATAAGGCCTTCCTGTAAATTACGCAATTAAAATCAATCGCCTTTTATAGATATCCGGGATTTAACCCACTAGGATTAAAATATCAGACACAGTTTAAGTCAATTTAAACTATATAAAAACATGAAAAACGTGGGATCATTTTAAGAGCCATTCTCTGTAATGACTTGAACTTTTATATAGGAGCTGTGGCACGCATAGTCTCAGAATTTCTCCAAACTCTGTATGATAAAAGTCTTTGATACCCTAAACTGAAATGAGGCAAAAATTGGTTGCTATGTTTTATAGTTACCATGGCAACATGTCTTAAAGTTCGAAAAATGGCATTTTTTAACATGTTTAGAGCCCCATAGTTAACATTTGCGACAACGCAAACAATTGACAATGACTGTTTCCAAAAGTTGAAGGTCAGATGTCTCAAATGCATGATAAACATGTTTGGTAAATCAACTATTACATACGTTACTATGGTAACAAAGTATTTAAAAGTAAAAAAAATATTCATTGAATTTTATAAAGTCATACACGTAAAAATAAAAAGCAATTATAGGATGAAATGTGACCAAATAATAGAAAAAAGAGCCTTGAAACATATACCAAGAACAAAATATGATATTACATTTTGGTTGGCAATGGTTGCCAAGGTTTTTATACCACAGAGAGCCTTCAAAGTAACACTCTGTATGTTTCAATCTGATCCTATCTTTTTAAAAAGCACATTTCCTCATAACTGATGATCAATTTTTGAAGATGTTGGTGTGCTTCTAGTTTTCCCATTTGAAAAAATTCAGTTTAGATTCTTTAAATAGAGCGTTGCTATGGAAATAAGCAGAAAATATATGCTTAAAAACCTGAAAAGTATTTTCTGTCCTTGGATACGTACCCTTAAATGTAGATTCCCAAAACTTTTATGATTGATATTTATTAACAGCTTACCTGACTTTTAATTTTGACTATCATCCAATCTCTAAGTGGATGCAAGAAGTTGGCACACGGGGTTTAATATTAATATAAAGTTCACAAAATCGAACATTTTCCCTTCTTGGTAACCATAGCAACAGTGTTGATTTCTTCATCAATTTTTATCAATATATGATATTCAACTTCAGTTCTAACAGATAAGTATGATTCAAGCTGAGTCCTTTAATTTGTTTCTTGGTTATATGGCAATTTAAATCTTAATGCAGCGAAAAATAATTCACTTTTAAGCACTGGTACTTTGTCTCCATGGTAACACTGCAAAGTAGCAATTATACCCAATTTTTCTTATGGTTTTTGGTGTTGTAAGGTCCTAAGGATGCATATTTGCCAGTCTGAGGAAAAAGTTGTATCTATCATCAGACCTATTTTTGCATTAAATGACTCTCTCTCTCTCTCTCTCTCTGATTCAATGAATTGTGTTTTTAACAATCTTTTGTATTAGTATCTCAAAACGGTTTCACCAATCAAGTTCACGAATCACGAGCCATGTTCTGTTTTCAAATCGTGTTGAAAATTTCATCTGATATTATGAACATCGATAAAAATGAATTGCCTGATATTCATTCAATAAGGTATGTCTTAATTAAGTATATCTATGCATGGCTTTGATGAGTTTTCCTTTTTTTCAGTTCATCTTGATAAAATGATTTTCAAAATTGCTTTTTTACCATTTCAATTTTTTCAAAAACTAAATTATGAGCTAATACCGCCAAGAATTAACTGTCTCTGCTAGTTTTAGAACTATAAATTAGATAAGTTATACTTACAAGCCTGGCGGAGTGTGTTTGATTTATTGTACGTGTTTATAATTTTACAAACAGAGATAACTCTTTTCATACAACTGAAAGTGACCAGTTTTGAAATAATGACTCGTATGGATAAAACCTTTTAAAAGCTTTCAAAATTAAAGAATCATTACTCTTACCTGTCATGAATTAACACACCTTTCATGATTTCAAAATTCAAGGTTTGAAAAGTATTTTTATAATTTTTTAAACAATTATCAATTCTGTTCAATTTAAATTAATTTTATAGAGAACTTGGAAACAACTTTTACCATAGGCAAAAGGAAATTATTCAAATTCAGTGATCAAGAAATTATAATGTTGGTTAGGGCCTATCAAGTTCATCCTTGTTCATGGGTTAAAATACAAGATGCAATGCTCGACAATTTGCATCAATTACCTTCGGATACACATAAGTTTTATAAAAAAAATCCACAGCAAAACAACTTAAGGACAGACTGTCTACTAAATTGTCTAAATTACTGGCATGTCCTGACGGTGCAATGAAAAACGCAATAATCAGGTAAACATTGATTGATTTTTTAAAAAGTTCATCACATCACACACACACACATACACATTTATACACTTACAACTTAGATATATATTTTTTCAACCCAGAGATGAATTGAAGAAAATAAAAAACATAGAAACGAAGTTGGCAACAACTTCAAAACAGCATAAATGTACAGAAGCGGCAAAGATGAAAGATCACAGAACCGTCGCTCTTCAAGACTTAAGGTAAGGTTTGCGTCTCCCTCCAACTTTTATTTTTTTCAATATGCACACATGCTATATATCAATTTATTCAGGGAGATTAGCTTCATCATTTAATATGATTTTCAAAGATATTGCCCGTCCCATATTTTTAGTAAAGGACGCCAAATTTAACGTATTTCACATTTCACCTCGAATATTATTTTCATTGAAAAAATTGATTTATTTTATAAATTATCAAACTTTTATAATTAAAATGACCTGAATTAGTATAATCCATGCTTCTATTATTTAAACTTTTAATTTTCTGTTATCAAAAATGTGAAAATTTAGGTAAAAAAGAAGATTTTTCAAATTTCCTTGATAAAGTGAAACCGTTGCCATGGCAACAAAAATATAAAAATCAACATTTTACATATCTACCGATTCCATCAAAATCCATGAAGTTATTAATTTGATCATTTTCATTAATTTGAACTATAAAAATATGTATGTCCCCAATATTATTTCCATGGAAACAGGTGCTATATATGGGTTCTGAACATAAAAATCAGGCTTTTTCTACACTTTTAAAGACAACATTGATATCAAATTGTCATGATGAATGTTAAAGACTAAATGTTGTTTTTGATATTGTTTTTAGTCATAAATTGGCCAAAAATATTCAAAATAAAACTCCTCCTGTGCTACATGATGGTCTAAAAATTTATTCCATGGAAGAACTCTAGTATTTATGGCAATCTTTACATCTTAATATTCTGATGAAATTGTCTATGAATTATACTGCAAAACCTTTAGAAGTACATGTATATGTATATAAACATACTTCAGAAGATTTTGCATCTAAACCAATTAAAAGCCTATTAATCTAACCTCATACTGATTTAGTTATTCAAACATGTATTAACTTCTAGACATCTTTGTAGCAAAACATCTTTCTTCAGTTATGGTTGGTGACTGTCATTATACACGTATGCCATTTTTTGAGTGAAATGTTGTAAGTGTGACGGTGCACATTTTAATGTTTTTGAATTCTGACATAATTTTATATAATCAAGGATAATCAATATTTATTTTATTCTTCAAACTAAATTATAAGCAAATTTTATTTAAAAGTTTATGATTTTGAAAATAGGAAATATTTAGAATTAAGTGTACCTTCTAAATAAATAAATTAGTTTATTTGTTCGGATTAACATTCACGCATAAGTTCCCTTTATTTCTTGATCAAACATATGTTACAATTTATTTTAAGTAATACTTTCTCACATATCGGCAATTATCAATGGTAAAGTTAATTTGTAATATAAACATTTGCCTGTCCATCTATTCATCTGTCAGAACATACGTATTTGAGTTAATTACTATCACTTCGGGATTAACTCTTAACAATAGATGCCAGAATAAGTGAGAATCTCTTCGGCAAGTTAAATCAAACTCTAGGTAATAAGGGACGCTATCCCTGTGAGGCTCCGATAGGGATATCAATTAAATTCTATTAATGACAATCATAATTAAAAATAATTATCCCCCTTGAGTGACCTCTCAAAGGACAGGTTGAGGGTTTAAGTTTGTTCTCTCGTCTCCCTCTCGTCACTTACGCTCGGGACACGAGACAATAAACATTGTTTAACCTCAACCTTGTCATATTTTAAAGGTCAGTATTGAAACTTTTACTTATTTTATATTTTTAACAAATATTTAGCATTCTTAGTTATGCATTCAGTTTTATTCTAAATTAACAGTTAGAATTATCATTTGTGAATTATAGTTAGGATACATATTTACTGTAAAAGATTAATTATTAGTCATCTCATAATTAAGTATAAATTCCTTCAAAAAGTTAACTAAGTCCGGGAATAAATATCGTACTTCGTCGCGTTATTATTAAAGTTAAGTATAGTGTTCGGTTTCCTTCTACAATATTGTGTTCAATGTTATTTTGTTAAAATGATGTTACTTGTTAAATTGTATCAGACGCCATAACTTTTGTAATAATTTTAGCACCGGAAATGTAACCGGAAGTAAGTTTTCAATATGGCCGCCAATATTTAATGGCGGACCACTGTATTGTATCTTTAATATAAATTTAAGTACTTGATCATTTAATTCAATATGAATATTCATGTTTTGTACATTAATATCAATCAATAACATCTTGTAAATTAATTGATCTTTATTATGGTAATATACTTACTTACGCTCGGGACACGAGACAATAAACATTGTTTAACCTCAACCTTGTCATATTTTAAAGGTCGGGCCAACAAGGACTATCCAAAGGGCCAAGGACAAAGGTGTACTAGCGTAAGGCAATCCAGAGCTAATTCCCTGGCGGCTGAAAGCTCGCCGTAATACGTGGTGGAGAAAAAGATCCCGTTCCTCTCAAACTCACATGCCAAGACCGCACAACTATTATCTACGAACAACGTTCTTGGAAGACGACGAGGACTTCGACTTCGACTGTGCAGAACAAGAAGACGAGGTAATGTCTTCCTTTTCATTTGAAAAGTTCGGCGGTGGCGATGAAGATGCCGTCGCCTGGCTGGCAAGGTATCGCCAGTATTCAGTATTTACAAATTTGAATGATGATAGACAAGCAGCCGGTTTCCCGCTCCATTTAACCGGTTCCGCTTCTCTCTGGTATGATAACTTAGATCAGAGAATTAAGAACAGAGGTTTCGAAGAAGTGGCCGCTGCATTCTTAGACAGATTTAGAGTGCAAAACAACACATACGATGTTTCATTGTTTAAAATTCAACAACTGCCAGCTGAATCAGCTGAGCAATATGTAACCAGGTTTCAAAAACAGGCCCAAAAAGTCAACTGGCCTGAAAATCTACAAGTAGGTGCCTTATTAAATGGGTTATCCCAAAATATCAAGCAAAATGTAACAATGAGAGAGCCTGAAACAGTTGATCAGGTTCGTAGACTTGCAGTATTAGCGGAAAAAAATTGTTCCTCTAATGACAGTATTCAAGTTGAATCCTTACATGCTAAATTTGATCAAATGTCTGAACAATTACAACAATTAGCTTTGGCGTCCGCGAATGTTAGCCACGTTGAAAGGACTATGGGTCCAAATCAAAAGAATTTTTCTCAATTTCGGCCAATTCTGGGTAGAGCCTCAAATCCCAATCAATCTAGGTCACACTATCAATGCTATAGATGTGGAATGGATTGTAGGGGTAGGAGGAACTGTCCAGCTCTAAATCAAACGTGTAGAAATTGTTCCAAGCTCGGTCATTTTCAGAGAATGTGTAGATCAGGTAATCGTAAATAGGGATTCGGGCCTGTCTATAGATCTTCTATAGGTGGGCACAAAGACAAAGAATTGATAAGGGCTGCTGTAAGTGCTAGGGATAAGACTCTTTCTGAAATTAAGCAACAGCTCTCTATTCAAAAATCCAAATTTTTCAAGAACACGTCTAAGTCTAAAAAGAGTGCTAAATTACAAAAAAAGGAAGATCCAACAGTTCTTAGTCTCAAAACATCTTTACATAAGAGTACAGTGACTGTTAATGTAGGGAATGTTAAGACAAATGCTTTGGTTGACACAGGTGCTGACGTTAGTTGTATTCACTCAAAAATGCTTGCCAAGTTAGATCCTTCGGATGTTAAGATCAATTCATCCAAATTCACGCAAATTACAGGTGTAGGAGGAGAATGTCATAGTGTCAAAGGGGAAATCACTCTTCCACTAACATTTAGTGATGTTACATTTACTAACACGTTCCTAATCTTTGACAATCTGCACCATTCACTTATTATTGGTAGAGATTTTCTTGTTACGAACAAGGTAGAAATAGATTTTGCGTCAGAGACCATGACAATTCCAGGTAACAAACCTTTAGTCTGTATGTTACATACAAATTTAGGATTAGTTAGACCATTGCATGCTATTGTTATTCAGCCAGAAAGTTCAGTACGCTTGGATGTATCGGTCTCAAGACAAACTTCAGGTAAGCCAGTACTATTAGAACCTACTTCTGCCCTTTCAAATCGACAATTGCTAGGAGCGCGTTGTTTAGTTAACGTTCGCAACGGTCGCGCAATTATGGAAATAATGAACCCAACTAAAAACAAACGCTCTCTGCCCTCGTCATTAGTCATTGCCACGGTTTCAGAAATTCACCAGAATTCAGTAATAGGCTTAGACTCAAAACGTGTTGACGACAAACCTGTGATTGCAAACATTAGCACTGATAATTCAGAAAACGTTGATTTTGACTTGGCAAATTGCGATTTAACATCTCATCAAAAACAACAACTTAAAGAATTTCTAAATCAAAACAAATCAGTTTTCTCATCGAATCTTTCACAAATAGGCAAAAGTACGACTTATCAACATCACATTGACACGGGCGATGCACTTCCGGTTCGCGGACCCAATTATCGCACATCACCCGCGATGAAAAAAGAAATTGAGCGTCAAATAGATGAAATGCTTCAAAATAATATCATCGAGCCTTCAGATTCCGATTGGTATTCTCCCGTTGTTTTAGTTCCGAAGAAAAATGGTGAGTATCGCTTTGCGATAGATTATCGGAGGTTAAATAAGGTAACTAGACCAACTTCATTTCCGCTTCCGAGATTAGACGACGTCGTAGATGCTATTGGAGAAGCAGATGCCAAAATTTTCTCTGTACTTGATCTCGCCAGTGGATTTTGGCAAATTCCGATGGACCCGTCCTCCAAACATAAAGCTGCTTTCATCACCCACACTGGAATATACGAGTGGACACGCATGCCCTTCGGACTTCGCAACGCCCCTATTACGTTCCAAATGGTCATGACGCAAGTACTGAGAGGTCTTCACTGGAAACAAGCGCTAGTGTATGTGGATGACATCCTGATTTACAGTAAGAACTTTGAAGCTCATTTGCATCACCTAAAACAGGTCTTTCAGAGATTGATGGACGCTGGACTTACACTCAAACCATCCAAGTGCCAATTTGCCGTTGAACAAGTATCATACCTCGGACACAGATTTTCCAAAGACGGTATCATGGTGGATCCTTCTAAAGTTTCCTTGGTTCAGAATTACCCCGTTCCCAAAAATCAGAACGAAATAAGAAGTTTTATGGGACTCTGTAATTATTACCGTAAGTTTGTTCATTCTTACTCGATTATTGCGACCCCACTTAATCAACTTCTACAGAAAGAAATTCCATTTGAGTGGACAACTGATTGCCAAAAAGCATTTGACACTCTTAAGACTGCGCTATCCACGGCACCAGTCTTAACGTACCCAAATATGTCAGAACCGTTCATCTTGACCTGTGATGCTTCATCATCAGCTTTAGGATTTATCCTTGGACAAATACAAAATGGAAAGGAACACCCAGTAGCTTATGGTGGACGATCGCTCAACAAAGCCGAACGGAAATGGGGAATAACAGACCGAGAATGCTTAGCTGTCATAGAAGGTATCAGACACTTCCGCGTCTATCTAGCGAATAACCATTTCAAAGTCATAACAGATCACAGAGCTCTCAAATGGTTACAAAACCAAAAAGATCTTACGGGACGACTTGGACGTTGGGCACTGAGATTACAAGAGTACGATTTCGAAGTTTTATATCGCCCTGGAGAAACTAATGGAAATGCCGATGCTATGTCCAGACGACCATATCAAGATACTGAGGACAGCGCCGTGAATAAAGAACCGAAACCAATAGTAAGTACTGCCGAAAGAAAATCGCCAGCATTCAACGATACTTACCGGGCCGTGTTTACATACAACGACAACCCATCTGTAAACATGATAGAGACAGAACAAAACTCAAATTTACCTGACATAGATGATATTGGTCAACTTCAACGAGAAGGTGAGACAAAAATGCAACATCTTATCAAATACTTGGAAACCCAGGAGTTACCCGATGACGAAAAGCTATCAAAGTCTGTCCTATATATGGAAAACTATTTTGTGTTAGACAATAGAGTTCTCTATCACCTTTATGAACCACGGACAAAAGGTAAGACCGAAAATGATAAAGCAATAAAACAACTTTGGTTACCTGAGACTCTACGCACTGCTGCCCTGCGAGCCTACCATGACAACTTAGCAGGAGGATGTCACTTGGGCATAACCAGAACACATCGGGCCTTACAACAAAAATACTTTTGGCATGGTATGTATCAAGACGTTTCAGATTACATTTCTTCATGCGATGTTTGTCAGCGAATCAAAAGGCCTATCAACCAACCAAACGCACCACTTCAACCACTACCGATTTCAGACAGGTTAGAGACATGGCACATTGACTTTTTGTCCTTTAACAAAACAACCGAAGGTTACCAACATGTTCTAGTGGTCACGGATAGTCTTTCCAAATGGATTGAAGCCTTTCCAACCAAGACGCAAGAAGCTTCCGAAGTCGCCAGAATCCTTTATACTGAGGTATTTGCCAGATACGGAGCGCCAATGACCCTTGTTTCCGATAGAGGGAAAAACTTTATGTCAAAACTGGTAAGCGCTCTATGCGAATTTTTCAAAATCAAAAAGATAGCCACTAGTCCATACCATCCGCAGTCCAACTCACCAGTAGAGAGGTACAATTCAGTCATCTCACAGTGTCTTCGTGCATACATTGACAAAGACCAAAACAACTGGCCAAAACTTCTACCAAGTGTGTTAATGTCTCTTAGAAGCTCTCCTTGCACAGAATCAACGCAGTTCTCACCCTTCAAGATCCTATTTGGTAAGGAAATGAATCTCCCTTTCGACGCACAAGTCATTCCTACTGAAACCATGGGTAAGGAAGCCAAACAACATTTTGATGAACTTCTAGGAGAACTTAAGGTAGTCGAGGACACGGCAAAACACAACGTTTCTCAAAAACGAGAACAGACAACAGCTGCAAACAACCGAAAAGCCAAAGATCCATCATTTCGTATATATCAACAAGTACTTGTCAAAGTTGAAAAGACGCCAGTTGGGTATTCCAAAAAGCTCCATGCAAAGTGGGAAGGACCTTACTACATCGTCAAAATCAATGGAAACAACACGTACTGCTTACGAAACTGTTCGACAAACAAAATCTTGAAGGCGTCTATACATGCAAACCGATTGAAGCCGTATCACGATCCGCAAGATCGACGATTACAACCTGTCGCCAATCGAAATCAAGAAACAGGTACGTCTGAGAATACAAACATAAATCAAGACGCGCAAATACGTAACCAAACTCAAAATTCAGAAATGACCGACACCGTTTCACCTCAAATCACGCAAAACGCGCATGATAATCAATCCGCGGTGTCGAATGATCCTAGCAATAACTGGTTTCCCATAGAAAAGATTATCAAATCAAAGTATGTCCAAGGTAAGCGCCAGTATTTAGTCAAATGGGAAGGTAATTATCCAAAAAGTTGGTTACCAGAAGAAGATCTTGGCTCTGGACTTGTACGTGAGTACCATGCAACAAAAACAATGTCAGGTAAAAAGCGTAAGCGCAAAACGACCTATTTTGAAACGAAAAATTAGTGCAAGCAAGAGTATAACAATTGCATTCTGTTAATGAAATCCAAATTTATCCTCTCAATTAAGGCTTCTCTGATGTTTGTTTCTTGAGATAATTCTCGTTTATTAGTGCTAAGTGTGGTGGCCAACACACAATTAAAACATACAACTTAGAATCCTTTATTTTGTATTTTAGAATCAATCATGATCAGAATGCGGTTGTTCTCACTCTTCTACATCACCCTTGCTCATTTGGTCATACCTGTGGATGTTGCAAACAAAGTTCGACTGAACTATGGTGTCGTATTTCAAGAGAAAGCCAAGGTACAGTTTTCCAATGATGTCTGGTTACATACGTTTGCAGTTAATTTACCAAAAACAGTTCAACTAGATTCTACAAATGATTGTGTGAACTGTTCAAATTTTAACAAGGTTATTGAAACCATGAACAATATACGAGTTAGATGTCAAGCTAGACTCAATGCTACCATTGAGGAAATTAAAACCTTGATTCCTGAAATAACTCAAGAAACAAGATCAGGAAAATCTCCTAAAGCTTTATTGGGTTTTGTAGGAACTATGTACAAATCCATTTTTGGTTTAGCCACTGTTGATGATGTTAACATTTTGGCTCAACACATTAATCGAATTACTTCAACAGTCAACAAGGTTACAGAAGCTTTAGCACGACATGGACGTCATTTTTCTTCATTTACAGCAGAAGTTACTCGTAGATTAGACAATATGGTATTGGGTCTTGAACAAAATCATAACGCTTTAATTTCATTAAGCAATTCCTTAAAGAAAGATGTCACTTTACTTAGCAATGCTATTGACACGGTCCCCATATTTTTGGTCAATCAATTAAGCTGAAACTTTAAAGACACAGTTGGAGCAATTTAAACTTGGTGTTCAAACATTAGTTCAGGGTAATCTCTCACCAATCCTCATAACTCCAAAGCTCTTACAGAAAACCCTGCATGATATCCAAACCATACTAACAAAGAACTATCGACGCATGTTTGTTTCTTCAACTGACCCACAAGTGCATTATACTTTTTCTAAGTTCTTTTTCGCACGTCACCGTTCCACTCTCTACATTACGGTAAAAATACCTTTGTCAACCTTTCGACTGCCATTTACCTTATATAATATAATTTCACTACCCGTTCCTATTAATGCTTCATCTAACCATGCAACGGAATTACTAAATTTGCCAGATACCATTGTCATTTCTAACAAGCATGACTATTTCGCCGCTATCAGTGACTCTGTCATTAATGCATGTGTAGGTGACACGGTTAAACATTGTTTTCAAACCATTGCTTATACATCAACTTCTAACAAGTCTTGTCTCATGTCACTTTTTAACAACAATAAGGAAGCTGTCAACGAAACATGCAATTTTAGATTTGTTCAAGAACGCTTACTACCCAAACTCATAGAATTAGATAAGTCTTCAGTTCTTGTTTACAATAGTCAAAATATTTCATACAAGTGTCAAAACAAAGTTAGGCAAGTACCAGGTTGCAAATTCTGTTTAATCAAAGTCCCTTGCTACTGCTCACTAACAACAGGTGATTTATATCTCCCTGCACGTCTAACAGCTTGTAATAAGAAACCCCAACTAAAACCTACTTATTACCACCCTGTTAACCTTGCACTCTTGCAGCAGTTCTTTAATGCATCTTCCATAAATGGGATCTCCGGATATACAATGTTTCCAGAGGAAGCTATCATAGATATTCCTGCTTTTCGATTATATAATCATTCAATGTCTACAATTTTGGCTAAGGATCAAAAAGAACATTTAAGTTTAAAGAAAATGGTTAAAGCTTCAAAACGTGATGCTATAATTTTCCAGTCATTAGCTGAACCACTTGCAAACGGTGATCTCACTGTGCCTGAAACAGATATTGATACTTTCAATGTTTTGACCATTATTTCTTTATGTTTATCAATCCTTTGTGCAGTTGCCATTGGATATTTAGTTTATAAACTTAGAGCTTTGTCAGCAGCATTGTTGTTAGCATCTAAAGCCACGTCAGTCAAAGCTGCATCTGTCCCTGTTTTTAGATATAGACCCGAAACAATTCAAGTTGAAGAAGAGCCCTTCATGTCAGACTATATTCAAGATATCTTAACTTGGGATCATGGAATTTTTCTTATGGTCTCAATTTCAACCTTATTTATATTGATATCAGTTATTAGCTACTTAAGAAATCGTAACAACAACTGCAAAATTGTTCTTGAAGTAACATCAGGTTCCCTTTGCACCATCATTCCTGTCACGTTCTTGTCTTTGTGTCCCTCCTATTGGGAAATCACGCCTCCATCAGATATTAGCAATATTCAAATTTCAGGGTACATTAAGCCAATTTTGACTTTAGAATGGGATAAGTTATCTATCAAAAACAAAATCACTTCAAAGGAAATTAAAGTCAAATCTACACTTTCTCTGTCATATTGGCAAGCGTACAAACTTCGCAAAATTCTTAAACAACCTTTTTGTGCATATTTGGTCTTAATTCACGATAATTATTACTACGCATTGACAAATTAGAACCATTCTCGATTATCTTTTTTTTTTCTGACCCAAAGCTTCTTTTGTGGTTCTAGGTTGTTTAATACCTTATCCATGTATATAATTTTTTTTTTGTATTGTATATATGTTGCATTTTGTTGCCTCTTTTCTGTGTGGTTCTTCTTTATTTTTTATAGTCCAAACATAACGATGTAAAGAGACCTAGCAAACAGCAGACAGCAACACACACTAGCACCACATGTGATGGCACATCCTTTTCCGGTTCGTTCACGTGATTGATTTACTTTAACGTCAATAAGGACCAATTCCAATAGACGCCATATGCCGTTGTGCAGAACTGTAGCAGATTCGCGTGAATGACTTTAGTGTATTGGACTCCACTTTGGAAACGATTAGCGTGTGCCAGATTAACAAACTGCGATAATCTCTTCACCGGAATTCATGTGCCTAAAGAACTATGTTGTGACAATGATTACTGGATCCATGTGCCTAAAGACTTTTGTGGTTACAATGATTATGTTCGATAAAAGGTGTTTGTTTAACTTTTAATTACTGTGTATTGACAATATGTGTGTTTGTGTTTTAATATGGTATAGTGTGTTGCTTGTCTTTGCTGTAGGTTCTCAATTATTTTTTTTTTCTTTTGTCATAAGTAGATTTAGTTTGTATTATTTTGTGTGTGTTATGTTTCAATGTCTTACTTTACACTCAATTGTACTTATATTTCTTTTTTTTTTTGCATGTGTATATAGAATGTTTATTGTTTGAAGTTGTGTATTTCATTTGGTATTTTTATATTTTTTTTTTCTTACCATAATTTCTTTTAACTTCAGAGGACTGAAGTTAGGCGAAGAAGGGGGTAGTGTGACGGTGCACATTTTAATGTTTTTGAATTCTGACATAATTTTATATAATCAAGGATAATCAATATTTATTTTATTCTTCAAACTAAATTATAAGCAAATTTTATTTAAAAGTTTATGATTTTGAAAATAGGAAATATTTAGAATTAAGTGTACCTTCTAAATAAATAAATTAGTTTATTTGTTCGGATTAACATTCACGCATAAGTTCCCTTTATTTCTTGATCAAACATATGTTACAATTTATTTTAAGTAATACTTTCTCACATATCGGCAATTATCAATGGTAAAGTTAATTTGTAATATAAACATTTGCCTGTCCATCTATTCATCTGTCAGAACATACGTATTTGAGTTAATTACTATCACTTCGGGATTAACTCTTAACAATAGATGCCAGAATAAGTGAGAATCTCTTCGGCAAGTTAAATCAAACTCTAGGTAATAAGGGACGCTATCCCTGTGAGGCTCCGATAGGGATATCAATTAAATTCTATTAAGGACAATCATAATTAAAAATAATTATCACCCTTGAGTGACCTCTCAAAGGACAGGTTGAGGGTTTAAGTTTGTTCTCCCGTCTCCCTCTCGTCACTTACGCTCGGGACACGAGACAATAAACATTGTATAACCTCAACCTTGTCGTATTTTAAAGGTCAGTATTGAAACTTTTACTTATTTTATTTTTTTAACAAATATTTAGCATTCTTAGTTATGCATTCAGTTTTATTCTAAATTAACAGTTAGAATTATCATTTGTGAATTATAGTTAGGATACATATTTACTGTAAAAGATTAATTATTAGTCATCTCATAATTAAGTATAAATTCCTTCAAAAAGTTAACTAAGTCCGGGAATAAATATCGTACTTCGTCGCGTTATTATTAAAGTTAAGTATAGTGTTCGGTTTCCTTCTACAATATTGTGTTCAATGTTATTTTGTTAAAATGATGTTACTTGTTAAATTGTATCAGACGCCATAACTTTTGTAATAATTTTAGCACCGGAAATGTAACCGGAAGTAAGTTTTCAATATGGCCGCCAATATTTAATGGCGGACCACTGTATTGTATCTTTAATATAAATTTAAGTACTTGATCATTTAATTCAATATGAATATTCATGTTTTGTACATTAATATCAATCAATAACATCTTGTAAATTAATTGATCTTTATTATGGTAATATACTTACTTACGCTCGGGACACGAGACAATAAACATTGTTTAACCTCAACCTTGTCATATTTTAAAGGTCGGGCCAACAAGGACTATCCAAAGGGCCAAGGACAAAGGTGTACTAGCGTAAGGCAATCCAGAGCTAATTCCCTGGCGGCTGAAAGCTCGCCGTAATATAAGCATTGCATCCACGAAGCTGCTGTTTTTATAATTAAATGATTTCTTCACTTCAAAGAATAGAAATGCTATCTTTAAAGTAATGTTTGTTTGCCCTCTCTTGACTCAGAGTAAAATTATTTATTTTATACAAAATTTTATTCACATAAGTGAATGGGATTGGGCAGCAGGCAAAGCCTATTTTAGCCCTCTCCCTAATTATAAACTAGATGCTGTCATGAGACAGTAATACCCGCACTTAGGTGTTTGCCTCTAAATGCACACTTCTTCATATTGGGCTTTACCACGGAAAAAAATCAATATAATTCAATAATTTACATAATACATGTATTCTTCTAATTGAGCATATGCTCAGGTGACCATGTA